GGTCAAAAGTGGACCTAGAACTTTGGGTCCGAGGGAGGAGATGGGGCCTGGATCTGAAGGAGGAGGGCTGTTTGGACCACTGAGTCCTGGGGAGAGAGGGCGCATGGTTTCCTGTGTATAGTGTGCAGGGCCACCGTGGGTGTCAGCATGGTGACGGAGTCTTGAACCTGAAGATCTTCGATCATAGATTACTTCATAGGTCCCTTAGTGACCCTCTCTGTCCCTCCCAGCCGTGGCCGACCCTACTCAAGAACTGGCTGCTCCTGGCTGTCAACCACCCCGGCTACATGGCCTTCTTGACCTATGATGAAGTCCAGACGCGCCTGCAGGCCTGCAGGGACAAACCAGGCAGGTGAGCAAAGCCGGCTCCATGGGCCAGGGCTGGGTAGTTCAGGGATCCAAGTCCTGGCTCGCAGGCAGGAGAATCCTTGAGGTTCTGAGAGACCAAGAATCGAGGTTTCTGGGAACCCAGAGGTCAGGAACTCTGCAGCTGGAGGCCTGTGATGTTCTCCTGTAATTCCAGCACTCAGGAGGAAGAGGCAGGTGGGAGTTCAAGGTTTCAAAGCCCGCCTGGTCTACAGAGTGAGTTCTAGGACAGCCAGGGCTACACAGAGAAACTCTGTCTCAAAACAAAGCAACAAAAACCAAACAAAACCCCTAAGTTCTGATGCCCAGTCTTTTTTCCTGGGGCCCCCTGGGTCAATCCATGGCTGAGCAACTAAAGCAACAATACCTGGTCCAGCAAGGAGTCCTGAAGGCCCTAACCGAGATAAGGCCCATCTCTGACAAGTCAGAGGCTATGTGGTAAGCCTCTTTGTTTGGCTTTGTTTGGAGCTAGGGTGTAGACAGAGTTTTACTGTCCTTACTGCCTGTTTCCCAAATAACTACTCAGAGTCTTAGTGTTAACTATAAACGCTCAGTCAATAGGCCAGGATTATATTCTTACATTTTAAATTAACTAATATATCTTATCTGCCCTCTGCCATGTGGCGGTACCCTTATTAGCATGGCGTGTTCATCTCCTGTTCCCTCTGTGTCTGATTGGCACCGTCTCTGACCCCCATGACTCTGCCCTTCTTCGTTCCAGGATCCTTTTCATCTGATTTTCCTGCCTAGTCCCATCCTGCCCTGCTATAGGCCAGTCAACTCTTTATTAGGCAAGAGAGTAATACATATTCATAGTGTACAAAAAGATTGTTCCGCAGCGATAGGGCTTGCTTCCTATAGCCCAGACTGGCCTCAAACTTGCCGTGTAGCTAAGGACGACCCTTGAATTCCTAGTCATCCTTCCTTTACCTCCCAAATGCTGGGGTTACAGATGTTACCCTCACACTCAGCATTTTGCTGAAATTTATTTGTTTTCTTTTGAGACAAGGTCTCCCTGTCGCCGAGCTGGGCTTGAAATTGGGGACCTCTTGCTTTGGCTTCCTGAATACTGGGATTATAGGTGGGCAGCATGCTCAACTTGTCCGGCCTCTGAAATATTTCGAACGTGAGCCCTCGTGGGTTAGAGCAGGAGACCGGGAAAACTGACATTGGAGAGACCTTACTTCCTTTCAGGTCAGGGGCTCCTTAGGGAGCTAAGGATAAAGAGCTGAGTGCACGGAGGAGCATGGAGGTTGAGGGAAGATATCTCTGCAGGGCTCTGGAAGGTCAGGGTAGAGAGCAGCTGCTTCCCAGAGCTCTCCATTCACTATGAGCTGTGGGCAGAAGATGAAGGAAGAGAGAGGGGAGGGTCTTTCTCAGTCTGTCCTCTTTCTCCATCTCTGTCAGTCCCTCTGTCTCTGTCTCATACCAGGCATTCTGATCAGTGGTAACATCCTTGTCCAGATGGGTTCCTAGACAAGATTTCTGTTAGGCCAGGCTAGCCTTGACCTTGCTGTATAGGGCAGGGAGGGAAATTATAAAATTGAAAGAAAGAACCGGAGTATGGGATTCCAGCACGGATGGATGCAAGCTTTCAAGCCCTTTATCGGGGGTCAGTGTCTGGGTGTGCTTTGCCTTATTTTTTTTCCTGTATTAGCCTGATTCTCAGTCGTGACCTGTCCCTACGGTGAGCAATGGCTGAAGCGATAGCCATGCACCCTTCCAGTCTATAGTTAGGGTGGGGAGCAAAGCACTGCTAGCTACCACAAAGGATGGGAAGATACCTGGATCCCGGGCGCGGCAGACAGATGGGTCTTTCCATCATGGGCAGCAGCGGCCACTCTCTCGCTCCATCCCACTATCTCCCCACAGCTACATCTTCAGGCCCAGCTGTACTCGCCTGGGGCAGTGGGCTATTGGGTACGTGAGTCCCGAGGGAAGCATCCTACAGACCATTCCTCCCAACAAACCCCTGTTCCAGGTGCTCCTGAAAGGACAAAAGGACGGCATGTGAGTCCCCAACGCGAAAGGAAAGGGGTGTCAGCAAAATCCAGATTATGCACAAACCATGACGGGATGGTGCAGGGTGGGCAGACACACCAAACTGCAACGCCACAGGCGCCCAGCAGGGGGCGGGCAGGATCTCGAGTCAGCGGAATGTCTGCGTCCACACAGCAGGTTACATGACACTGGATTCCTTACTTGGTCTGGGCTCCAGAGTCTGTGTTTCTGGAGGCTATACCCTGCTCTAGGATCTATATTGGCGGGGCAGGGGTCAGGGAAACAGCTAGACTGGTGGTTTTCCACCTGTAACCTCAGCTTTTTCCAGTTTCCTCCGGGAAGTTGCCCGCGGTAGGGTGAGGAGGGGAGGGGCTGGCTGCTCTCCCCTGTTCTCCCTCACCCAGATTTTATCTGGTTTGCGCTGCTGGGGACCAGTGACCCAGCTAGGCAAGGAGCTACCAGGGAACTGCATGGTTAACGTGAGATAGAGACGGAGATGAGAGAGAGAGAGACAGAGACAGAGACAGAGACAGAGACAGAGAGAGGTGGACAGACAGACAGCAGACATGTTGCTTCTCATTGTTCCCTGGGGTACTATTCTATAAGATGGCAAAGGCCTTGAATCATCACAGAGTTACTCCTCTGGGGAAGAGGCAGGTTCTCTTCACCTTCATGACTGGTCCCATTGCTTTTATTACATTATTTATGTTATTAGTTTTTTTTTCCCCTTTGGCCTTTTGTTCTTTGTTTTGAAAGTGTATTGATTATGAGCATGAGCAGGGATGGAGTGTGTGTGTATGTGTGTGTGTGTGTGTGTGTGAAAATATTAAAGGCACAGGAGGATCCTGAGATCTGCATTCTAAGCTACATAGTGAGACCTACTTTCAGCAAGAAAAAGAAAAAGGTATAGGTCATGCTGTGGGCATGACTCAGCAGTGGAGCCCCTGCCTAGAATCCCCCAGTGAGGGGCTAAGGGGTGTGGCTCAGTGGTAGAGCCCCTGCCTAGAATCCCCCAGTGAGGGGCTGGGGTGTGGCTCAGTGGTAGAGCCCCTGCCTAGAATCCCCCAGTGAGGGGCTGGGGTGTGGCTCAGTGGTAGAGCCCCTGCCTAGAATCCCCCAGTGAGGGGATAAGGGGCGTGGCTCAGTGGTAGAGCCCCTGCCTAGAATCCCCCAGTGAGGGGCTAAGGGGCGTGGCTCAGTGGTAGAGCCCCTGCCTAGAATCCCCCAGTGAGGGGCTGGGGTGTGGCTCAGTGGTAGAGCCCCTGCCTAGAATCCCCCAGTGAGGGACTAAGGGGCGTGGCTCAGTGGTAGAGCCCCTGCCTAGAATCCCCCAGTGAGGGGCTAAGGGGCATGGCTCAGTGGTAGAGCCCCTGCCTAGAATCCCCAAGTGAGGGGCTAAGGGGCATGGCTCAGTGGTAGAACACTTGCATAACATCCTCCAGGTCAGGTTTAACACTGTGAAATGCAGTAACAGTCACAGGACTGTTCCTTCCAGTAACCTTCCAGGACTGGCTTTGAAGAGCCATGGGATCCTGGACCGGCAGATGTTTGGATTCCTTTCTTGGTTCTCAGGCTAGAGATCAAGGTTCAATGTGACTTCCTTGAGATGATCAAGTGAACAGCTCTGTCCCAGGGATTGGAGAGTATACTTGCTCTGGGGAGTCCCAGTGTGGGATTGTGGCAGGTCCTAACACACACACACACACACACACACACACACACCCTGGATAAACGAGGTAGGCAGGTCCTTGTGAGTCCAGCCACTCGGAGCCCAACTCTGTTCTCTCAGCCTCCTCTACCCTGATGGAAAGAACCACAACCCAGATCTGACCGAGCTGTGCCAGGCAGAACTCCACCAGCGCATTGAGGTATCAGAGGTGAGTCTCATACCTACACCTGCGACCCACACCCTGTTCCTACCCCCAACTTGCCTCAGCTCAGAGACCTCAAAGGTAGTGCCAACATGGGGCTATATGACCTCAAGCCAATCCTGGCTTCTCTGAGGCTGTCTGAGTTCTTCTGCTGGGAACTATAGCCTCTGCAGCCTCCTTCCCAGGGGGTTTTATTGGATATGAAATAAAGAAAAGAGCTTCTGAGATAATCAGGACAGCTGATGCAATTGAGTGTTTATCAGCTCTGAGTCTGAACAGACACACAGGAGAAGAGCCAAAGTGTTTGTCTTTTAGTTTTTAGGATGGAACTCAGGAGCTCGTGAATGCTAGGCAGGGGCTCTACCGCTGAGCCACAACCCCATTCTTGTTTGTTTGAGACAAGTTTTTTTTTTAGTAGCCCTAGCTGTCCTGAAATTCACTCTATAGACCAAGCTGACCTCAAACTCACAGCCTGCCAATAACTTTATTGACTATACTGCAAAGGACTGGGAATTAACAGAAGTTCTAGCCAAAGGCACTGCAGCCAAGCCTGAGGACCTGAGTTCAGCTCCCAGGATCCTCGCAGTTGAAGGAAAGAGAAGAGTCCTGCTGGCCGTCCTCTGACTTCCACGTGACTGATGGGCTGCAGGTCCACAGAGTACCACCAACAGCTCAGCTCTTGCCCCCCACATGGTGGTATTATTATTATTATTATTATTTATTTTGAGACAAGGTCTCTCTTTGTAGACCTGGCTGTCCCTGAACTTCTTATGTAGTGGTCCACCAGGCTGGCCTCAAACTCTCAAAATCCAACTACCTCTGCTCCCTAAACACTGGAATTAAAAGTATGCACCACCTTGCCTGGCCCTTGGGTTTTTGATACAAGGCCTTTCTATGTAGCTGAGGCTGGCCTGGAGCTCCCAATCCTCCTGCCTCAGCCTCTGGAGGAATTACAGTCCTTTGACACCATGAGATTTTTTTATCCTAAATAATTTCATTCTTTATTTGATATATACTCACTATTCATATTATTTTAATATATATATCTTAAGTATTTATTTTTATTATTTAAAAAATACTCTATATATGTGAGTGTTTGTCTGTAGGTATGTGTAGTCTCTGTGTGCCCCAGAAGTGGGTGCTGGATCCACTGGAACTAGAGTTACAGATATTTGTGATCTGACATGTGGGTGCTGGGGTTTGAACCTGGGTCCTCTGGAAAAGCAGCCAATGTTCTTAACTGCTAAGCCATCTCTCCAGCACCTATTTTTACTTAATTATGTGTATATGTGTCTATCTGCATGTGGACTTATGCTTGTGAGCCCAGGTGCCCTCGAAAGCCAGAGGTGCCGAATGCCCCTGGAGCTAGAGCTCCAGGCGATTGTGCCACTCCCTGGATGAATACTGGGGAACCTACCATGGGTCCTCTGCAAGAGCAGCATAGACTCTTCACAGTGGAGCCATCGCTCCAGCCCCTTCTTCATACTGTAGCTGCTGTTTATCTGAAATTCAAGTGGAATGGAACATGTCGTATTTGCTAAATCGAGTAGTTCTGGGGCTGGAGAGGTGGCTCGGTGACTAAGAGCATTCGCCGTTCTTACAGGGGACCCCGGTTTGGTCCCCAGCACCCACCTGGCAGCTTCACCTGTAACTCCAGTCCAGGAGATTCAGTGTCCACCGACACCAGACACACAAGTGATGCACAAAAAATACATGCAGTCTTTCACACATACACATAGAACATAAACAAGAGTCTTTAAAAAAAAAAAACAAATGGCTAAAAAAGTTAGCATTCCTGAGTAAAGACAAATCCAGAAATCTTGTTTGGGGTTGAATACATGCTTGGCCTGGTGGTGACATGTGGCTATAATTCCACTGCCGGGTAGGCTCTGGTCTGCCTCTGGGTCACTTCGTGAGATCTCTTGGCCAGGAAAGAAAACGATGATGACAGTACCTGTGAAGGCCTTAGGTGCACTGGCCTTCAACCTGGCTGTGGTTTTATGTGAGGAATTTTATTTTGTTGTCATTTGGTTTGGTTTAATTTGGGTCATGACAGAAGCTGACCTTGAACTTCTATCTCCCCTGTGTGTGCTCCACCCCCAGTGCTAGAACTAGGGGTGGAACAGGCGGACACTGTACCAGCTGTGCTCCACCCAGACTTGGGACAGCATCCAGGCTGGCACAGATGCCGGGGACCGTCCTCCCAAGCCTCCCCTCACCCCATCCATTTACCTCCCAGGAGCAACTGCAGCTCTATGAAGCCATGAACTCCACATTTGAGCTGTGCAAGATCTGTGCTGAGAGGGACAAGGACGTGAGGATCGAGCCTTGTGGGCACCTTCTCTGCAGCCACTGCCTGGCTACCTGGCAGGTGGGGCTGCCATTTGTCATTTTTCCGCCCCCTCCCTCCCCTAAAAGCCCCGTCTAGATCTCCCAGGGGCCTCATGAGAGAACAGAGGTCCGGTCAGGCCACTCAGGGCCCTGGCTGTCTGAGTTAATGTCTCTGGACCCACCTCACCCTGAGTCACAGCCTTCATTCCTCCCTGAGCAGCTACATAATGGGTTTTAGAAAGGGCTCCCTTCTTCCTTCCAGCAGGCCTGTGTGGCGTCAATAGCTTTCCCTTACCAGACCTTGACCTCAGCATCTAAAGGCTAGAACTAAATATTCCATCATCAGTGGTACAAGGAGGGGCCAGCCCCTCGAATCCCTCAGCAAAGACCTGAGCTCTGCTGGCCTAGGCCCTGGCCTGCGAGTCCTTCCTGGATTCAGACCAGGCCAGCCCCATTCCAACCCTCTCCCCTACGCCCACCCATTCCAGAGCTCAGCTCTCTCCAGCCTTCCCTCCCTACATCGCTTTGTGCATTTGACGTCAGAAGGGAGACAAGAGGGTAATTGACATTCTTCTTCCTTGTCCCCAGCAGTCGGATAGCCAGACCTGTCCCTTCTGCCGGTGTCAGATCAAAGGCCATGAGGCTGTGAGTATCTGTCAGGCACAAGAGAGGTCCGTGGAGTTCAGAGCCACTGCAGAGGAAGCCAGAGACAACTGTCACCAAGAAGCTGTGTGGAATCTGGACCCGGTGAGCAGGGACAGGCAGGGCCTAGAACCACTGTTCCCAGGGTCTGATGGAGGAAGGCTTGTGTATGATGGAGGGGGCTGAAGACTAGAATCTTGGTCTAAGGGAGGAGGCTGGGACCTGGCCTCTGGGTTTGAGGGAGAGGGTCTAGAATGGGAGTGTCTGCCTGGTTGAGTCTGGCCTGGCTTTCCCAGGCAGTGTGACCTGAGGGTGAGACCCTGTACCCGCGGCAGGGAGTCTGCACAGTGCCCCCTGCTGGACACTGTGAGGAATTAGCCACAGCCGACCTCCCCTGTCTCCTTCAGGTGACTCCCGCTGCTCCCCCATTGCCCCCTGAAGATCCGTCCCCTAGGAGACCCCAAGACAACGGCTGGCTGACAGTGGTGAGTGACATCTGAGATGGATGTGGTTAGAGTCTCATTTCACCTCCATGTGGCCACAGCTGGGGTCACACCGATGGACTCCTCAGGATGCCCTCCCCGCTTCCTCTGTTTGATGTGGATGAGTGCTTTGGCTGCATGTCTTTCAGTCCACGGTGAACATGTGGTACCCATGGAAGCCAGATTCCCAGTTCCAGAGGGTTATGCGCTGTCATGTGAGAACTGGGTACTGAGCCTGGGTCCTCTGCAAGAGCAGCCAGGACTTAACCGCTGAGCCATCCCTCCAGCTCTCCTCTTCCACCTCTACTTCCTCCTCACACCCCCTCCTTCTTCGCCCTCCTCTTTCCTGTCCTTTGGGAATCGGGCTCCAGTATGACATCCACGCTGGCTGAAACTCTCCATCTTCCTGCCTCAGCCTCCTGAGTACCGGAACGAAGAACGCTCCTCAATCCAGCTCCCGCGTGCTCACTCCTCAAACGAGCTTTGTTTCTCTTTCTTTCCCCTCCTACTCCACACCCCTGGACCCTCCCCAACGGGGAGGGCAGCTGTCCCCGCAGCCTAGCTCAGTGCATGCTGGCCCCGATCAATACCCAGCTGACTTCAAACAAACAACTCAGGAAATCCGGGAACGTTATTCTATCACAGCAAACGAGAGTCAGCAGGAAGGGGGGGGGGGGGGGGGGCGAGAGCCCAGGGAGAGAAGCTAAAAACAGATCTGGACCCATGGCCAAAGGCAAATGGAAACATTAGGAGGTACTCAGCTGGCTCCCTGAGGACAGGGAGGGGCCGCAGCCAGGACAGCAGCATGCCGGTCACCTCCAGCCTGATGGGTGCACCTTGGCCTGGGCCGCGCCCTCCGCCTGGCACGAATCGCCGCTGCTCCTGTTCACATTCCTGTCAACTCCTACTCCTTGGCTTTCCCTACACACCAGGGAAGAGAAAGCCCTGAGCCTGCCTGCTTCAGGAAATATGACTATTCTTTTGAGAGCAGTTCAAAAGTATGTGGCTTTTGTTACGTCCTTCACCCCCTTCCCTCATTATTATTATTTATTTTTTATTTATTTTTAGTTGGTAGAGTTTTTATTTTTTTTTTATTTTTACTTAAAAAATTCCACCTCCTCCCCTCCTCCCATTTTCCTCCCTATTATTTTTTTTTTAAGATTTTTTTTCCAGGCCAGACGAGGTGGCACAGGTCTTTAATCCCAGCACCTGGGAGGCAGAGGCAGGCGGATCTCCTGGGAGCTCCAGGCTAGTCTGCTCTAAAGAGCAATTCCAGGACAGCCAGGACTACACAGAGAGATCCTGGATTTTTTTGGTTTTTTTAATATATATTTATTTTAATGTATGATTGTTTTGCATGTGTGTATATCTGTGTGTGGTGTGCATGCGCACACATACACACGCATGCATGCACACATGCCTGGTGCCCAGAAGAGGGTATGAGATCTCCTAGAACTGAAGTTACAGACAGTCCTTAAGCCTCTGTGTGAGCGCTGGGAACTGAACCCCGGTCCACACTGGCATGTCTCTTCTATCTGTGTAGGCCTGAATGTATGTTGTGTAGCATGTGCATACAGGTGTGTACAGTGTCTGCAAAAGTCAGGAGAGGGCACCAGAACCCCTGGAACTGGAGTTGCATATGGTTGTGAGTCACCTTGTGGGTATCAGAAGCTGAATCTGGCTCTAAATCACTGATCCATTTCTCCAGCACCCCTCCCATCTTTATTTTCAGGTTCTAAGAACTGAACCCAGAGTCTTGTATATTTTAGACAAATACTCCACTGAGCCACGCCCCAGCCCCTCACTGGGGATTCTAGGCAGGGACTCTACCACTGAGTCACACCCCAGCCCCTCATTGGTTCACTCTGGGCATGGGTTACCTCTGAGCCACACCCATAGCCCCTCCCTTTCTTTTTAAAGGGGGCTCACAGCTTCTTCACATACTCTATTTCTGTGACAGCCACGGATCCAGAGGAGACACCGCGAAACCCATTATCCCTGGCTCCAGTTTACGGAGCCTAGGAACCAAATGATGTTCTATGGTCTGTATGGTGTGTGACATACCTGGGCCTACCACCAAAGGCCACCATGGGCACTGGATGGGCCTTCTTGTTTTCATGGCTGTAGTTAACATAACGAGGATTGGTATACAGTCCTTCTGCGTGTGCTTTCCAGGCAGAATCTTACTACATAAAGTCGGGGCTGTGTCTGAACTCAGATCCTCTTGTAAAGCAGGGCTGTGTCTGAACTCAGGTCCTCTTGCCTCGGCTTTCCCAGTCCTGTTATTGTGGATCTAAGCTACCAAGCCTGTCCTTCCAAGGCCAGCAAGCCTCGCCCACCACAGCACCTCCTACGTTGGAGCCTTGCCCCTTGGCTTCTGGCCTGTCATTCCAGTCTCCCAGAGGCCTTTGCAGCTGCCCCCCTCTCTCTGGCCAACATCACTCTCTCCTTGACTTGAAAGGCCTCCGAACATCTGAGCTGTTTCCTTGCTTGGGAACTGCCTTTCGTCCCTCCTCCCTCCGCCTCGCCCCACCACTGCAAGAGCCCTTCTTGTTTCTCCATGTATGTCAGTTCTACAGAACAGAGATGTTTTTCTCCCTAATGCTGTGTCTCCAAAGCCTAAAACGATGCTCCAGAGATGTTTGTGGCATGAGTGGATGGGTATTTTTGAGACAGGGCCTCACTTATGTTTGCTATGTAGTCAAGGATGGCCTCCTAATTCCTTTTTTGGGGTTGGGGCTTTTTTGGGTTTTGGGGGGATTTTTGGTTGGTGGGTTTTTTCGTTGTTGCTGTTGTTGCTTTGATTTGTGGGGGAGGGGTTCTTTTTTTTTTTTTTTTTATGAGAAACGGTTTCTCTGTAGCTTTGGAGCCTGTCCTGGAACTTACTCTGTAGACCAGGCTGGCCTCGAACTCACAGAGATCTGCCTGTCTTTGCTTCCCAAGTGCTGGATCTAAAGGCATGCGCCACCATCATCCAGCTGGTTTTGTTTTGTTGAGACAGGGTTTCTCTGGTCCTGCTGTCCTGAAGCCAAGCTGGCCTACAACTCAGAGATCCTCTTGCTTCTGCCACCACAGCCAGCCCCAGTTGGGAGATTTCTGTTTTCTTTTAAAATTTACTATTAGCGTGTGTGTGTGTGTGTGTGTGGTGTGTGTGTGTGTGTGTGAAGCTCTCAGGTGCTGAGGTCAGAGGGTAACTTTCAGGAGTTGGTTCTCTTTCCGTCGTGGGTTCCGAAGATTGACCACAGGTCATCAGGCTTGACCAGCACTTCTTCCTGCTGAGCTGTCCTGCCAGCAGTGAAGTTTTCTTCCACGCAGAAGGAAAGGGTGTTGTTGTTTTATTTATGATGGGTTGGACTATTTTAGATTTTATTTTATTTTTTAATTTTTATTTTATGTGCATTGGTGTTTTGCCTGTGTGTGTTTGTATGTGCAAGTGTTGAATCCCCTGGAACCGGACTAACAGACAGTTGTGAGCTGTTATGTGGGTGCTGGGAACTGAACCCAGGTCCTCTGGAAGAGCAGTCAGTGCTCTCTCCAGCACCCAAATTTTAATTTCTTTTTCTTTTTTAAAAATATTTATTTATTTATTATGTATACAATATTCTGTCTGTGTGTATGCCTGCAGGCCAGAAGAGGGCACCAGACCCCATTACAGATGGTTGTGAGCCTCCATGTGGTTGCTGGGCATTGAACTCAGGACCTTTGGAAGAGCAGACAATGTTCTTATCCTCTGAGCCATCTCTCCAGGCCCCTATTTTAGTTTTCTTAATTGTGTGTGTGTGTGCTTCTGCCTCAGCACACTTATAGAGGTCAGAAGACAATTTACACAACTCAGTTTTCTCCTACCCCGTGGGCCCTGGGGATGGAACTCACTCAGGTCGGGAGGTTTGACAGTAAGCATCTTTACACAGTGAGCTGTCTCACTGGCCTGACATTTCCTAATTCCTTCCTTCCAGGCACCCCTCACCCTGCCCAGACTCCGAGCTCCCCTTCCTTTACCAAAAATGGCCTCAGTTATGTGGGAGGTCCCCAGCAGGCCCCAGGCCAGGGAGGGGGCCACAGGGTAAGTAGAGAGGCCCTGCCCAGTACTATGAGAACTCAAGGTCTTGGAGGGGTGGGCAGAGGAAAAAGACTGAAACAGTTCTGACCAGTGATTCTCGTGGCAGAAGCTCCTGAGCGGGAATTCACCCCTCCAGCTGGCCCTGTGTGGCCCCAGATGTGTCCAAGATCTAGAGGCCAGGTGAGTCCTGCTGCCCTCCTTTGTCCCAGGTGGGACTAGCTCTGATGCCACTGTCAGCAGACTATTCACCATCCTGCCTCAAAATAATGAAGGGGGTGGGGTTTCAGCAACATAGTTCTTCCAGACAGGGTTTCCCTGTGTAACAGTCTTAACTGTCCTGGAACTCCCTCTTGTAGACCAGGCTGGCCTCAAACTCACAGGGATTCTCCTGCCTCTGCTGGAGAGTGCTGGTATTAAAGGCGTGTGCCACCACCGCTCAGCCCATCTTATTATTTTTTTTAAATAATGTATTTCATGTGTATTGGTGTTTTGCCTGCACCTGTGTCTATGTGAAGGAGGGTTTCGGGTCCCTTGAACTGGAGTTACAGACAGTTGTGAGCTTCTGTGTCGGTGCTGGGAGTTGAACCCCTGTCCTCTGGAAGAGCAGTCAGTGCTCTGAACCACTGAGCCATCTCTCCAGCCCCCTAATTCTTTTTTTTTTTTTTTTTTTGGTTTTTCAAGACAGGGTTTCTCTGTGGCTTTGGAGCCTGTCCTGGAACTAGCTCTGTAGACCAGGCTGATCCAGCCCCCTAATTCTTATTCTTTTTAAATTACGTGCATGCATTTCCTTTGTGGTGGGGATATGGCACATGCCACAGCATGTGTATGTGGTCAGTCAGATGACAGCTTCTGGGAGTCCTAGGAATGGAACTCAGGTCATCAGGTCTGCAGACAGTTCCTGCTGCACCGTCTTGCTGGCTCTCTGTCTCTAAAAAACAACAAACACAGTTTGGGAGAGACAGTTCAACAGATAAGAGTGGGTTCTGCTCTTGCAGAGACCTAGTCCAGTTCCCAGCATCCATATCAGGTGACTCCAGCTCCAGGGGAATCCATCGCCCCCCTCTGGCCTCCTCGGGCATTGCACTATCAAACACATGCACACACACACACAGACACATTAATTAAAAATAAACTGCTTTTTTTTTCTTTTGAGACAGAATTTCTGTGCTAGCCTTGGCTGTCCTAGAATTCACTCTGTAGACCATGCTGGTTTCAAATTCAGAGAAACGCCTGTGTCTGCCTCCTGAGTGCTGGGATCAAATTGCTGGGATCAAATGTTCTATCACTGCCTGGCTAATAAACTTCTTTTTTTTTTTTTTTTTTTTTTTTGGTTTTTCGAGACAGGGTTTCTTTGTAGCTGGCCTCGAACTCACAGAGATCCGCCGGCCTCTGCCTCCCAAGTGCTGGGATTAAAGGCGTGCGCCACCACTGTCCAGCCTAATAAACTTCTTTTAAAAAATACAAATAAGTCAGGCAGAGGTGGCTGGTGCCTTTAATCCCAGCACTTGAGAAGCAGAGGCAGGAACAAGAACAAGTTCCAGGACAGTGAGGGCAGTTACCCCATTCAGAAAAAAACAAGAAATATAAATAATAAATAAGTAAACAAAGCTCTAATGCCCTTTTCTCCTGCCTGACAGGGCACCTGGACTGGAGGAAGGGCGCCCTGGGGCTGGAAGGGGTGATGAAGCTGAAATAAAGTGAATCCTGGCCCTTCAGTCCTCCCGCGTGTGAGGGACACCAGCAACGCCATGGGGGACAGTCTGACCCCTGACACCTCCCCTGTTAACTCAGGAACCTGGGCCCCTTCACCCTCAGACCTTCCCACCCATCAGAGCCGTAGGCTCCTCCTTCAGACATGGAGTCCCCTAACTACATATCCAGTCCTGGCCCCCACCCTGTGACCACCTCGTGGGACCAGAAACCCAAATCCAAGATCACTTGTTTATTTTTCAGTTAGGGACCTGGGTTGCTGCATCTGCTCTATCCCTATATAGCCCAGGCTGGACTCCAGCGTGCAGCAATCCCCCTGCCAATCCACAGACAGCTTCCCTCCTCCCCTTCTCCCAAACTAGTGTGACCATGGTCTCAACCAGACCGCAGACTCTTCCCCAGCGTTGCTTAGAGGGACTCAGGGTCCATTTGCTTTAGGTGAGACCCTGCCATGTGTCCATCCTCCCACAGCCCCTCTCTTACCCATTCTTCACTGGGGCACTTGTGCCGTGTGCCCATAATATGCTGGAGGAGGCAGGCCTGGACTGGCCTAAGGTGGGCAAAAGAAAACAAAAATGTTGCTTTGGAAGGGGACAACAGGGGACTATAGGAAGCCAGAGGGAGGTGCCTTGCCTGACCCAGGTAATGGAGGGAGGCTTCCCGGAAGAGGGGTGTCGAAACTGAGACTGTAGAGAATCGGTGTCCCGTGGGAAGGGTGCCGGAAAGTTTGACAGATAAGTTACTAATAATAATAGGCAACAGAAGCCACCTCGGGAACACAGGGGAGTTATTGAGAGGAGCTTTTTGGGTCAGTCACAAACTCCCAGGAGCAGCTTGGAGAACTGGGATTGGAAAGCCTTGAGACTAGTGGCCGCTAGCCAACAACGGTCACCAACTGAAACCTCTCTACAGAACCGGTTTGATGAGGACACCACAGGTTCCCCAGTGACCAGATCTTGGTGCAGTCACCCGCTGCCTGCAGTCAATAAGGCGTGGCTGCCCTTCTGTTCAGCACGCACTCATCACAAGTCACTCCTTAAGAGTGGTGGATGATGGCGGCGATGATGATTTAACTGCTCGGCGTTGCTGCAGGTGGAGAGTGGAGGATGGAGTCTCACTTGAGTGCCTCTGGCTCAGTGCTCCATCAGAAGATGAAACAAAGGGGTCCCTGACCAGGAACTATCACTTAGCAGAACAGCACTTGCCTAGAATCCCCCAGTGAGGGGCTCAGGTGTGGCTCAGTGGTAGAGCCCCTGCCTAGAATGCCCCAGTGAGGGGCTGGGGTGTGGGTCAGTGGGAGAGCCCCTGCCTAGAATCCCCCAGTGTGCAGGCTAGTTTTATGTCAGTTTGCCATAGGCTAGAGTTGTGAGGGGGGACCCTCAACTGAGAAAAACCTCCGCAAGATCAAGTCTGTAGTGTATTTTCTTCATTTTCTTTTTCCTCATTTTTTTTTTCTGATTCCTTGATAGTTTCTCTATGTAGCCCTGGAACTCGCTCTGTAGACCAGGCTGACCTCAGACTCAGAGATCTGCCTGCCCCTGCCTCCTGAGTGCTGGAATTAAAGAAATTGCACCACCACCCTGCTAGGCATTTTCTTGATTAGTGATTGATGGGGGAGGGCCCAGCCCATGGTGGTGCCATCCCTGAGCTGGTGGTCCTGGGTTCTGTAATAAAGCAGAACAAGACAGTGGGCAGCACCCTCCATGGCCTCTGCATTAGCTCCTGCCTCCAGGTCCCGGCCCGGCTTGAGTTTCTGTCCTCACTTCCTTCAGTGATCACTGCAAGCGAAAGTCTAGTAAACCCTTTCCTCCCCAAGCTGGATTTTGGTTATGGTGTTTCCTCACAGCAATAGTAACCATAGCTAAGACACCCAGGGAGGGGTAGGACATAGCTGAATTGTAAAATATTCCCTCAGGATGCATGAGGTCCTGGACTCCATCCCAGCCCCACCCCAGCCCCCAAAAAAGTTGCTGGAGAGACAGACATGGTGGTTCACAGCTGTCATCCCAACACTCAGGAGTCGGAGACGAGATAATCCCAAATTCAAGGCCAGTCTAGGCTAAATTGCAAGAAAAGACTATCAAGTGGCTGGAGAGCGATGGCTGCTCTTCTGGTGCTCCTGAGTTCAATTCCCGGCAACCACATGGTGGCTCACAGCCATCTGTAATGAGATCTGGTGCCCTCTTCTGGCCAGCAGGCATACATGCAGGCAGAATGTTGTATACACAATAAATAAATAAACAAATAAATAAATAAATAAATCTTAAAAAAAATAAAGACCCAAGCTCTCAGATATGGAAAAATGACCATCCCCATGATCCTGGCAGAAGTTGTGCAATTTCTTTTCCCTCATGATGGCTGGTGGCACTGTTTCTAGTACCTTTTGTTGGTTGTGTACCAGTCCCCAAACTACACAGATCTGAGAGGAAGAAACAAAGACCCTATTTTCATACCTTCTTTCCATTCTTTCTTCCTTCCTTGTTTGTCTTGTGTGCTAGGATGGAACCCAAGGTCTCTGGCTTGCTAAGCAAGTATCCTGTCATTGAACCACCTGCCCCAGCCCTTACTGGGGGTACTCTACCACTGAGCCACACTCCAGCCCCTCACTGGGGGGGTTCTAGGCAAGCACTCTACTGCTGAACTGTGGAACCAATTCCCACTTCCTTGTGCAGGGAATGTCAAGATCTGATTATAGATGGTTTTGTAGGCTGAGAAATTGTTTCCTTCATCTTTAGAAAATCGGATCTGCTCCAGCTGTCATGGCTGGGAAACCTAGCCAAAGCTGGCTCCCTCTGCAGTATCCACTCCTAATTCAAAAGTCTGGCATGGTTTTCCAAGCTTAGATCACCTCGGCTCCCAGTGGCCACAGCCAGCAGCTGTCACTGTCAGTTTCCACAGAGGGTGTGGAACTTCCGGAGAAGGCAAGAGTGGGCAGATGGCAGGTAACTGATGCCCCACAGGCAGTGGGTAAAGCTGCTTGGAATCGAGTCTGACCGCCTAGACTGGGTCCCTGGAATAGACTCCAGAAGTACTCTCTGACCACCACTAAGCTATGCCCCATCTTAATAATAATGTATTTAAAAAAATATATAATTGACCACCCCTTTGGACACTCTATAGACTTATACCCTTGATGTTCACAGGGTTTCTCTGTGCATCAATCCTGACTGTCCTGGAACTCACTTTGTAGACCAGGCTGGCCTCCAACTCACTCACAGAGATCCACCTGCCTCTGCCTCCTAAGTGCTGGGATTAAAGGCATGAGCTACCACCACCTGGCTGGTGTTCACTTTTTTATCTTGGACTTTTTTTTTTCTTTTTTAATTTGTCATGTAACCAATGCTGGCCTATCATGTAGTGAAAGCTGCCTGAACTCCTGGTCCCCCTGTCTCTACCTCCCAAGTGCTAAGGTTTCAGGTATGTTCTTCCATGCATGGCTTTTGTCTTTTGGTGTGTGTGTGTGTGTGTGTGTGTGTGTGTGTGTGTGTGCGCGCGCGCGCGCGCGCGCGCACGAGCATGCGCGCACATAGTGGAGTCCAAAGTTGAAGTTGAGCATCTTCCTTAGTCATTGTGGTTTGAAAGAAAATGACGCCCAAAGGGAGAGACACTGTTAGGAGGTGTGGCCTTGCTGGAGGAAATGTGTCACTGTAGGGACAGGCTTTGAGGTCTCTTTTCTCCAGTTTCACTCAGTCTGACAGGCAGCCAACTTCCTATTGCCTCTGGTCAAGATGTAGTCAGCATCATGTCTACCTGCATGCCACCATGCTCCCCATCATAATGATAATGGACTGAACTTCTGAAACCATAAGATGCCAATTAAATGTTTTCTTTGTAAGAGTTGGCATGGCCATGTTGTCTCTTTACAATAATAAAAACCAAGACAGACATGCTTCAGGCTCTCTGCCCAGCAAGCACCTGCCATGTCCCTGGGCTCTGCCTCTTGTGTAGCAGTTTCCTCCCAGTTAAAGCACTCCATCCTGGAGAGGAAAGTTCCAGGCTTGTTAAGACTCAGGAAGAAGGCAATTCACAAGTCTCAGGAAGTCCCTGAAACTGACCAGCTGCACAGATGCCTCAGTTCCCAAGGTTATACAATCAGTAAGCAGTGCTAAAAAGAAGAGATTCCTGATCTGTTGAACTGCATGCAGGCTGTGCAGTGTATGCTCCAGGGTTCAGCATCCATGCCAGGGTGCTTTTAAGTCATCCCTGCTCCTGTTAAGTGACCCCAGTACACTCATTTGTTCACTTTTCTGTCATTGGCACTCTGTCCGGGATGACTAGACATTTTCACTTATTTCCCCAGGAATAGCATCACACACACAACACTGCCCCACAAATACATGCTACCAGCCCCCGCTTTTATGTGAGTAGGTACTGGGGATTTGATCTCAGGGCCTTATGCTTGTGTAGCAAGCACTTTATCACCTGAGCTATCTCCCTGGCCCTGTTTGTTTTGTTTTACTCTTTGAGACAGGCTTTAACTCTAACCCAGGCCAGCTGTCAGGGACCAGTCTCAACAAAGACAGCTCTTGTCAGGGTAGGGGTGTGGGGATTTAGAAATATTAGTAAAGAATACAAAGACACATGTGAAAATAATAAAACAGAAAAACAGAATAGTACCAGGAGGGAGTTCCAATGAATACTGAAATCCTCTGCCTTTCCTTTTCCTGACACTTTTATACCCCAATACCACAGGGAAAAAGGCAAAAGACTGCTTTAACATGAAATGAAGAGCAACTAGAACAGTTAACCTGCTCCAACACTTTGAGACATCAAGTCATTAGCATTCTGTTGTTTAGGCAATGATCCCACCCTAGACCAAGCATCCTGAAGGCAGCCACTCCCAAGGTCAAACCTCCTGTTTCAAAAGAACAAGCAGAAGTACGCTTGAATTTCCTGACCATTGGTCAGGGTGGAGTGGACCTAGCTGTATAAGCCATCTTAATGTCAAAAGACCAAGTAACCATATCCTGATTCAGGATGTGTAGCCCTGACCATTGTAACAATTGAGCAAACTCAAATTCTCTGACCTTCAAATGAGGTAGAAATAGGCTCACATTTTTGGGCCTCCACAGCCAGTCTGAAACCTGTGTTTCTTATGTCTTTGTTTGTTGTTGCTTGAAACAGAGTCTTACCATGTACTCCCCTTTGCGGGCCTAGAACTATTTAAACCAGGCTGGATTTGAAGTTTTGCTGGTCCTCCAGCCTCTGTCTTTACATGTATGGTAATACTGCACACAGACACACACACACCATATGCATACATTTACACACACTCCCCACACATACATACCACACACACACTTACCATACACACCCACCCCATACACTTACCATTCACACACACACCACACACTCACCACACACACACACACACACACACACACACACACACACGGCCCAGACCAATCTTGACTCCCTTCTCCTATACTCTTCCATGCTATGACTACAATTGTGAGCCCAGCCTGCCCTTGGTTTTTTGTTTGTTTGAGATTTATTTATTTATTTATTATGTATATGATGTTCTGTCTGCATGTATGTGCCTGCACACCGGAAGAGGGCACCAGATCTCATCATAGGTGGTTGTGAGTCACCATGTGGTTGCTGGGAATTGAACTCAGGTCCTCTGGAAGACTATCCAGTGCTCATAACCTCTGAGCCATCTCTCCAGCCCTGCCCTTGGTTTTTATATTTACACATTGCCCCCACCAGAGCAGCTTTCTGAGAGATCCTCACACATGCAACTCTCCACATTCAGCCCAAAGTGAACTCACACAACAAAGAACATCAGCAGCTGCTCTCCAGCCCCAAGTCTGGCAGCAGGCAGAATAACCATCCTTCCAAACACGCCATGGGCCCATGTTCTGTGAGCTGTGAACTGTTGTGCCATGTATGGAAAGTGGAGAGAGAATGAGCAGAAGCTTCTGCCCCTGAATGTAGCCCCAGTGCATGAGAGGCTGAGAAAGGAGGCTCGACAGAGCTCATGGCCAGGAGCTAGAGAGAATGCTTACAGCACTGGCGGAGGACCCAGGTTCAGTTTCCAGAACCCATGTGGTAGTTTACAGCGTTCAATGACTCTAATTCCAGGGGCACCCTCACCCTCTTCCTGCCGCCATGTGCACACAAACACACCTGGTAATATACATATGTGCGCGCACACACCTGGCGCATATACATATGTGCGCACACACACCTGGTGCATATACATATGTGCACACACACACACCTGGTGCATATACATATGTGCACACACACACCTGGTGCATATACATATGTGCGCACACACACCTGGTGCATATACATATGTGCGCACACACACCTGGTGCATATACATATGTGCGCACACACACCTGGTGCATATACATATGTGCACACACACACACCTGGTGCATATACATATGTGCGCACACACACACACACCTGGTGCATATACATATGTGCGCGCACACACCTGGTGCATATACATATGTGCACACACACACACCTGGTGCATATGCATATGTGCGCACACACACCTGGTGCATATGCATATGTGCGCAC